GATTCACATTTCCCAAATTTTTGAACCATCGGATTAGAGTTACGATCTGTAGCATTTTTGTAATCTGTAGTACGTGCAACTAAGTAAGTCTGTCCTTGGCAGACGGACGTCATGTCAGTGCCGTAGGTGTCGGAGGTTAGCAGAAGCTGTCCTGACTTTCCCCATCCGAGAAGTAATCTCATTTTCAGCCAATCCACTGGAATTGTTCAGGTGAAGGAATTCATCTCGCACACTTTACAGGTGTGAAACGCATGTCAAACCGTGCGGCAGAATTACTTGGTTGCTCAAAATTTTGTGCATTTTGGAGGGACTTGAACGAAAAAGAAGGGAGCGTCCTAATGTTGCAGCGGACAGTACGACTTCACCTCCGGACTACCTCGTAATGCCAGTTATCGCAGTATGCGGACTCGCTATTCATCCTCGAGCTACTCACCGTTGACCTTCCTGGTATGGTTGAACCTTGGGGAACTGAGTTCCAGTCAGCAGTGAAGCTCGGCCACCACCACGACAAGGTGACAGCTTTAGATTGATGGATATGCAAGTTGGGACAGCATCACCTAGGAAGCTCAGATTTCCACTAACGATAGCGTGTTTGTACACCGCTTTATCTGCCACACTTTCGCTGACGTCATGTGTGGTCTACTCTTGTGGTGGGTTCTGGGTCGGTCAATTAGGACTTAAGGATGTTACCATGAAATTCCTCCTTCCACAAAACCACGTTCAGCAAATTGAAAGGGTTTGTCTTCATTCATTTGTTTGTTTTCACTGCTCTCCAAGGCATCATCACTTTTCCTAGTTAAATACGTTCCAACAACCTCATCTGCTGCATGAAATGAAATGAAAAAAATCGTTCAGCTGTAACACCCTCCCAGGGCCTAGCTGCCATTCCATCCGAAGGAAGCACGAGGGCTTGGCTACTGCCAGGTTGCCCAAGCCTAGACAGGGGAAGTCGAGAGGCAGAGATTGGGTTCGAACCACACGGTAAATTCGCGCTCTAACCACTTGGGCCATCTCGCTCCATCTGCTGTGTAAGTGATATCGTATCAAAGGAAGTTACCCTGGTAATTTGATTATCTGCACCACTGAAATGTGTATCCGTGTCTGCGCAGCACATTCGATTATAGAGTCGTAAGAGCCTCACGTTAACACAGTTGTGTGTGATCGTCTAACCTCATAAACTGTGGCTGTTTTTTCGTTTGTGAGAAACTGATAAACAATTGCCGATACATTCTCTCTCTGCCTCTGCCAAATTGGTCTCGAAACTCAACTTTGGCGCTCAATACCACAGTCAAATTCATGAAAACTCCTTTGTGCTTGACCATATTCCCCATTCGCCATTCGCTTTCAGGTGACGTATTCAAATCGCGCGTTTTTGCCGGATCAAGTATACCAGGCAATAATTTCCCGACTTCCCGCGTGACCTTCGTGATTCTCGTGTCCCATTTTCGATCTGTTAACCAGAATACACAGATTCATATTCTTCTTCGCACATGATAGCAGACCAACCGGATCAAGAGGGATGAGGTTCGAATCTATTTACTTGCTTCAGTAGCAGTGTAACACGGGGTCAGTGGATTAGAGCATGAATGGATCTGTGGGAGGAATGGCATCGTTGAGAATACTCAATCGCGCCGGTTTTCTCTGTTGACACATGATGTCAGGATTTTGTGGTGAGCGAGTCATCTGGACAATACGTATCTGTGTACGAAGTTCTAGCTTATGGATGCAATCGACTGCAATGACATCAACTATCTTCATTCTTGCCATTGTTGGCAGTTTGTTTTTAGGATGACACAGCAAGTCACTTCAAAGGAAGTGCCCGTATTCACTTGGTGCCTGTGGGGTCAGTAAGTGAGCCAAAACCGAAGTGTTTATGCGTCGCACGACACCTTTTTTTCGACCGATATGGCGAACTCCACAGAAGCAAACTGACAGGTACGCTTCAAAGTGGCCTGGCGACTCGGTCGGTTGAAGATTACGTGTATATTGGCTGCTCTTGAAGCTCCGCATGCATAACCAGTCGATGGAGTATATTAATGTTCTACTAGAACCCGAAAATTAGTTATACGAACGAGAAAGCGGAGAGCACTAACAATGTCTGCTTGTTGAGTAAAATTATTACAACAGGTACATATATGCGAACAAGGGACTTATCGTTTTTCAGGTACAGGTTGATAAATCCTGTTGTAAGTCCGGATGCAGGTTTCGTGTCTTCTCCGCTGTTGTACCAGCCACACGTAGTCCTGGAGATCCGTGAGTGAAGCGCCGTAAAGTCCTGAGTGGCCCTGCTCCGAGCTGGGCGACGTGAGAAGCTCTGTGGAGTTGTGTTGCTGTGCTGTTATCCTATATGTAGGAACGTTTGTGTGTATGCGAGTGTCAGCACATGATTTGTTGCTACCTTATCGGACGGTATACAGTCGATGTCAGATGAGTCACTCTTGTGTGTCGTGATTTGTACGTGTAGGGAAATAAAACGAGTNGTGACCTGTAAGTCATGTATGTGGCGAAAGTGTGGCTACAAGTCTTCTTTGAATGACAGACTCCGATAGATATGCTTTTGTTGCACCTTGATGGTTGTGCTTCTTGCTTCATCTTTTCTTTCAAGGACCTATCACGAAGGATGTTGAAGAATAGATCAATCTCCTGTTGCGATATATCTTCTGTACATATTTTTGCCCTGTTGAAGCACAGTAGATATCTGTCTTCTCTAATAGGATTGGTGCTTGAGAACGCGTCACTTATTGTACCAATGAACACAAACGTACGCGTATGGTTGATGAAGTCCTACTGGTGTTTGACTGCATGGGGCTCATTTGGAGACTAACTTGTATGTTCCGGAGGGTGTGATTGCTGTCTTCAGAATTGATATAGAGAGGTTTTTGCGTACTATTTGCGCTACTCACCAATTGTGAGTAGTTACGCACCGTGGGCGTTCAGTTTTTACCCCCTAGAAATGTGACAGGTGGGCCAGAGTAGGATTCATACACGGTTGTGGTTATCAGGGGAGTGCCATTCTCACTTTGAATGTTGTAGGCTGCATTAGTTAAGTTTAGGAAATCCTTCGAAAAGAAAGCCGCAAGCACTATGGTCTGGCTAGAGTGCATTCGATGGTGCGGGGCTACTACTCTGAGTTTTCTAACCTAGTTTATATGCTGGTGAGACAGGTGAAGCCAGAAAATATGGGCAACGTCTTTAAGGGGGGGGGGGGTGGTCTGGCTAGAGTGCATTCGATGGTGCGGGGCTACTACTCTGAGTTTTCTAACCTAGTTTATATGCTGGTGAGACAGGTGAAGCCAGAAAATATGGGCAACGTCTTTAAGGGGGGGCTGCGCAGGTGACGCGTGAATTGTGTCCTGATGAAGCTTATCTATCCATAAAAATCCGCATTATTCGTGTAGAAAACGTGTTAGCAGGAACAGCGTCGCACCTATATGACACCGTTAGCATATCCTAAAGCCGTTGAATGAACCCACCAACATGTCGGTTACTTCTTCTGTTAGATCGGTTTTCAAGGTTATGATAGTTCAACCGTCCGTCGGCCGCCTCCGTGAATCGAGGCCATTGAAAAAATTCGAAGAATCTTAGAGAAACTCATCAGTGTACCTTCAAATTACTTTGATCTAGTTCCCCTCGTTTGTGCGCGTTTACACCCGAAGCGGACGCAACTTTGGAATTTGCCTTTTTCACGAGGGTCTGTATTCTGCTGGTGCTTGTTTTCACTCGCCAGTAAGCCTTGCCTACCTCTGCGCGTCCGTTTGCTGGATATCTATCATTCGTCATCCCAGGCGGTTTCTTTGTGCCACAATGACCGCATGAATCGAAGTTAGTGGAAATATTCGTTTGATTTTCTGGTTACGATTGTTTCAGTATATTCAATCCGTTAACGGTCCTGTCAATCGTACCTTAATTTACAGTACATGCAGGTACGCGGCGAAGAAAAGGCGTAGCACAGCGGAGGCCGATGGTATCTCCCAGTTACCACCTGTCTAGAGTGGACGGTGGTTTAAACATTGTTCAGCTGTAGCACCCTTTCGGTCCTAACTGCCATGCCACCCGAAGGCTGCACGAGGGCTGGGATACCGCCAGGTTGCCCAAGCCTAGACAGGGGAGTCGAGAGGCAGAGGTCGGATTCGCGCCCTAACCACTTCGGCCATCTCGCCCCAAAAATCGTTCAGTTGTAGCACTTTTCAGGTGCCTAACTGCCATGTCACTTCCCACGAGGGCTGAGATACTGCCAGGTCGCCCAAACATATACATGAGAAGTTGGGAGCCAGAGGTCGGGTTCGAACCACGGACCATCCGGTCAGTAAATTCGCGCTCTAAACACTTGCGCGTAATTTAGCTTGTTTTCATGGGAAGTGTCTTCTGGGTAAATACAACAGACGGTGTTCATTGTGAAGCTTCATGTGCACTTGGACTCGTCACAACGTAGATCCTATCTTTCGTCAAGTTGTTAGAGGGTGCAACGAATTCTGCTTTCATCCTACCCGAAAATGAAAACCTTGGATACCTTGAAACACTAGAATTTAGTTTGGCGATTTTCTTGGCTAATTTTCTTGATTACGTGTGTCAGTATCTCACGGCGTCCTGTGCCCCGAATCTGGTAGACCAAGAAAGATTAAGAAGTCTATTTGTGCTGTTAAAAGCGTCGTTTGTTGCTGTCCGGCTATCATCTGATTGCAATGTTATCGTATCTTTCCAGCTAGTAGGTTAGAATAGCGAAGAACTTACAATCAATAGATATGTCGGATAAACAATCGGCCCAGCGAATCCGGCTCCTCGATCTTGTTGGTTTGTTATTTTATTGCGGCATTCACACTGATAGTTAAACACAGGCCCACCGAACCTCAGTTCTGATGTTCTGTATGTACGAGGAGGACTGTGTTCAAAAATACGTCCCGTTATTGAAATCGTATGCATCGTATAATGAATGACCAAAGTGCAGTGAAAACCTAATTTTCTTCAGGCTTGGGCGACCTGGCAGTATCCCAGCCCTCGTGCCTCCTCCGTGTGGCGTGGCAGCTAGGCACCGAAAGGGTGCTACAGCTGAACGATTTTCTATTTTTCAAGGATGAATAGGTACTTGTAACTCCTCACGTATAATCCGGCCGGCCTTGTAGAGGAACTGTAGTGTGTGTACTGCGGGAACTCGTCGAGAGAGAGATTGGGCGTTTTTTAGGGCAAATGTTTATGTCAGCAACACATTGAGTTGAGTAAGGATGGATGTCAACTCAGCATTCCCAGAGTTTCTTCTGCGATCTCGGTCAATGTAGAAGTCTAGCCATTCCGAGTGGGATTTGGAAGGTGTTCACTGGACACGTGGGAAGAACCGCCAGTTTTCAGGCCAAATTCTGCTACCTTGCGATCGAGATTCGAAACTACAGGCTTTGTTCAAAAACCCTGGTAGTTATCCTGTCTAGGTCTTGGCACCTTGGCGGTATTTCAGCTCACACGCAGTTCGCAGTCGGGCGTACCCCGTGACCACGTCGACCTCCGCGTGGTGACTTCGGTCTGCTTGCCTAATTCGTTGTATACTGCAAGACGGATAAGTGAATAATGAAAGTGCTGGCGTCTCTCATCTTTCTTTGTTATTCCTTAACACCTTGTCTCTGGGGATTTCAACGCACAAGGAAGACGTCTCAGTTCACCAGAGGCCTATCTAGGTTGTTTGGATTACTGGCTCAATGATCACGGCAAGCTTCTTTTGAAGCTTTGTGCGAGCTACCGGTAAAAGGAAGAAGGCCTTCGCTGCGGAGTTATTTATTAGAAAAGGCCAACTGACCGGTTACGGACTATAAGACGGAAGCAAAACTATAATTTACATCTTATTTACAAAAACTGGACATCCATATTCTCTTGAACGCATCTTCTTGAACTTTCCTGGATATTCATTGACTCCAATCATTCATTGCTCAAATCCAAGCAACTTACAAAGCGACCCCACAGATTCCGCAACAGAACTCCCCTTTTCAAGAGACGCAAAGCGAAATTCCAAGAACAACACTTACTACTCACATGCCTCCCCATCAGTAGTGTCATCGTTACACCGGTTGTTTCTCAGTACTGCTGGGTCTGGACACACTGCAACTAACTTGGTCTTATCAACATCGGTAACCGGTGGCGACGTTCAGCTCTTTACTTCCGGTCATTCTAAAATGCACTTTTCGATTCGGATCATGCCCACATTCCATGTAAACTTTCGTTCGGCCGAGCAAATTGTTTGTTGCTTATTTCGAGTGATTTCACCTACATAATAACATTTAGACTAATAGGCAGTGAAAATTTCATTAGGTTGGGGTGTAGCTACTGGTTTTAACTGAACAAAGTGGTGTTTTTTCACACGGGGCCTGGTACAAATAAAACAGAGTCGTGTTTCATGTGATCGACAGTCACTGACCAGATCAGCTAACTCGATAACGCAGTCTCGCACTGCTGTCCTCTCAAAAAGATACCCACTCTCGACCAAGTGCGTTGCGTCTAATCTACGTGTTTATCAGATGAATGGGTTAGGCGAAAGACTTCCACCTTTACAAGGCTAACGAGAATCCCTAGGGATGGTGGTTTGATGGGAAACAGCTCTGATCAATTTCTTCGATAGCTGAACTTTCAGACCTGTGAATTTTTTAATCAGACCACATCCAAGTTCGTCGTTTGAAACAGAAACACTCCGTTTGGTTGATTGGCTGTTAGCTAGCTACGGAACAGGCTGAACAATTGCAGTTTTATTTATCCTATGAGACTTTGAATCCACAGGCGGAATATTACCCCTCTGTGTAAATGGAAATTAGAGTTGAGAATAAGCAAGGGCAAATGAACAAAATGTTGAATTCAACATTTCCTTCCACGAGAATGAGTTTCATATAGGCATGTGGCACAGTAATCTGTCGCAGAAGGGGTGAACAGGGAATTCACTGCATGGTACTGGGTGTCCGCTTCCGTTATCCAATTAAATTAGCGTTTATTCAAATGTTTCGGTAATTAGGTTTGAAAACGTTTGTGGTTAGTTCTACTGTGTGTTTATTGAGCTGTTGGAGGTTCACCCTTTTTTAAATTTTCCTGTCGTAGGTGTCCGCATTGTTGTACAGCTTGCACGATGTTATGTCTCAACGCGTTTTTTTTCAGTTTGATTGACATAGGGGAGGAAGTGAGGTTGGTCTTTATCCAAGCACTGGAAGGGATACTTCACCCTCTATTTACTCAGAGCTGTTTTGGTGATTTTGTTTGTATGTCTATACGAGTCTGCACAATCCGTACTTGGAAAGCTGGTGAGACGTTGGTTGGAAAGGCACTAAGAAGAGTTTACACGAATTTACCAACTTTCCAGACATTTCTGTACCGGCAATTTCAGACTGACTTTCCTTGTACACTGAGTCAATGACCAAGACGTATCACCCTAAGTGAAGCAACGGATATCCGTATTAATGGAGTAGGCACAAGGAATTAGTATGGACCTGGCATTTCCTACTTACTGAGCATTAACAAAAATTAGAACGCATTAATCACAGCGAAAGTTTCCACTCAGATATACTTCAAAATCCATCGGTAAAAATGCTTATCAAACTCTTCTATGCAAATGTAACGTTTACTCACGATTATTACCAACGGCACCTGAAAGTGTGCGATTTTCCGTAAACTTACACCGTAAACGTGCCATCATTTGTTTTGACGTTTGCCGGAGAAGCGAAATTGGAAATTCTCAAGAATGACTGAACCAAGCATCGGACCACTGGACAAACGTAACATGTCATCCCTTTTCAGAGTTGAAACGAAGGAACATGTATCCAGTGCCACACAGAGGATTATCGGTGTGCGGATCGGTAAACATCATTTCGTGTGCTGACAGGTGGACACGGTTTGAGTGTAATTGACATAATTGCAAACAACTCGAGGATTAGGGACAGCCTGCGGCAAAGTTTGACAAATTCGCGCTGAATGCTAGAAAGATATTTTCCCCAAAATGGACACTCAGTTTACGGAGAACTAAGAAAGTTTCGTAGAAAAAAAACGGCAAAACAACCGCGAAGGTGCGCAAGCATTTTTCCGAAAGATTGCAGGTAACGTGTTTGCTGCTCTCTACTCCATATTTCGCCCACATTATTATGAGCTATCCAACTTAAGCGTATACGTGAGTACGAAGAAGTTAGCAAACAAAGCTTGTTTTCTGTGATTGTTCTCCTTGGCTAATACATCACAAATTTATATGGTAGCAGAAATCACGTGGAAAAGTTCAAGATCGGGGCTACATACACTTTAGAGAAATAGAAATCAAAGGAAGGGAGGGGGTTGGATGAGGGATAGGTCAATGGGTCACGGTAATCAGGTGAGTGATGTCAATGTCAGACAGACTTGTGGGACCGGATGTTTCGTAGGCCAGTTCAAGTTCAGAGCTCGCACAAGTTTCTTTTGGATGCAAAGTTGCGGATCCAGCAGTTGGATTCCAATCGCCTCTGCGATCGATAGTAGTTTGGATCATACCAGTCGTGATCCGTTCAGAGGTACCTGGTATATGATGGTGAAGGCTTGCTCCTTGTCTATGACATGACCGGTTTCGGCCAAATGTGATGCAATCGCCACTCCACTAACCACTCCCACTAACACTCAGAGATACGGGATTGTGTTCTAGTATTCTGTCCGACAAATGCCTTGTTATACGACCAACGTATGATGCTCGGGACGAGCATACGAATGAGTACACACAAAAGCTGGCGGTAGAACGTGGCAATTTGTCCTTCAAGCAGAATTTGATAGTGGGGCTGGAGTTGAAGCTCAAACATAGATTAGCGGCCAAGTATGTCGTATCAACGGAGTTTCTAAGCCTTCTGGTGATTAGTTCAGCAACCGAGTCACCTTTGAATGGAAGCCTCATGTATACGGGCTTCTTTCGAACAGAAAATTCCGTAGGTTTGGGTTTAACGTCTTCCATAATCTGGAGTACGAACCTTTCAGGATATCCGTTCTCCAGGAATGTGCGTCCGAAGAACTTTAGTTCCTCTTCTAAGCATTCGGGTGAGCATATCTTCATTGCTCTCCCGGTCAGGCATCTAATTAGGTTGCGTTTTTGTTGCAACGGGACGAAGCTATCAAAGTGAGTATACTGACCTTTCCACGTTTGCTTTCTGTGGTCCCGTCAGTCTTCTTTTTAACATTGACATCGAGGGAACCTAACTGTCCGTTTTGTTCCGATTCGATAGCAACCTTGATATTAGTATGCACTGAATTGAAACTGCTTAGTACGTCTGTTGTGCTGATGGTTTCGTCGGCAAGTACGGAATTGCCGTCCACGTAGTGACGCGTATACC